ATATATATATATATATATATATATATATATATATACACATATGGTTGAATGGCGTCAGACTTTCCTTTCAGAAATATATATAATAATTTATACCCGCTCGCTTCTCCGTTCGCTCAAACGTTCAAACACCGATCGAAACACGGCGCGATTTCCTCGATCTTCTTTCTCTTCGATCTTCTTCGATCTTCTTCGATCGGTTCGATCCACTCGTGCTCATACGCTCCATACGATAAAAACGCACCCTCGACGTCGCGGCCTTGTTTCGGGGGTGCGAACCCCCGTTAACACTACGTGGTCGTGCCACCTATGTACCCGTTGTTCAACGTCTCGGGTTTGTTCACGTATTCGACGGGCGACAACGCCTCCTTCTTCTCCATCCCGTTGTCGATGTCGATCGCGTCGATGGACGGGAAGTCGAGGCGAAGCGGGGCCGTCTCCCTCTTCTCGGCCGCGGACAAGATCTCCGGGCTGCCGTTCTCGTAATCCGGGTTCGCTGCAATCTTGGACGAGTTCGGGCTGCCGAGGAAACTTCGTTTCCCGCTCGGATTCTTGGGGCTGGTCGCGGATCTGTTGCTCGTAGACAATTGGCTCAGGTTGCTGCGGGACGCGCTCTTCGCGTTCACGAACGGCGAACTCCTCACGGACTTGAGGCTGTCCTCGACGAAGGGAAGGTTCAACGCGTCCTTGGCGGAGGCGATCGAATCCGCGGAGACGCCGTCGAAGTCGTCGAAGCCGGCCTTCAACGGGACGTTGGACGAGTTCATGTCGTGGCAATTGGTCGCAATCGTTTTCGAATTCTCGCCGTACGAGTCCATCCTGAAACGGGAGCCGAAGCTGTTCTTGATGCTGGCCGGCTCGAAGCTGGCAAAGTCGCCGAAATCCTGCCGTAACGGGGAATCCTCCTCCCCTTCCGCCTCCTCTTCCTGCAGATCTTGCAAGGTGGCCAGTTCCAGGTGCCTGGGAATAACGTATCGTATCAACGAAAAGAAACTCGAGGAAAAAGAAAGAAAGAAGAAGAACATATTGCACGCTCACTGATTCGTCTGGGGCGAGTTGGACCTGTTCTGATTCCTCGCCTCCACTCCCTCCGGGCTGTGATAGAAGCTAACCTCTTGAAAACTGTCCGGATCGATGTGCTTCAGCAACATGCTCGCTATGTCCATGAACGTGGGCCTCCTCGTCGCCTTGTGCCTCCAGGTCCTCTTCATCAACTCGTACAACAACTCGGGGCAATTCTCCGGCCGCTCCATAACGCCTCCCTCGATCACGTATCGCAGCACCTAGAGGAATCGATCGAACGTAAGAGAGAGAGAGAGAGAGAGAGAGAGAGGGGCAAAGAGAACCGTGATTTTCTGTAACTGGCCGAACTCGATACCTGCTCGTTGGATAAACCTTGATAAGGCTGGGACGCGAAGGTGACCATCTCCCAGAGAACGACACCGTAACTCCACACGTCGGAATAGCTGCTGAACACACCGTCCTTCAGACTCTCGGGCGCCATCCACCTGACCGGCAACAAACCCTTGCTCCCCTTCCTATAATAATCCCTCTCGTAGATGTCCCTTGTCATTCCAAAGTCGCCCACCTTCACCGTCAAGTCTTCGGCAACCATGCAATTTCGGGCCGCCAGATCTCGATGAACGAACTTCTTGGTGGACAGATAAGCCATCCCGTCCGCTATTTCGATCGCCATCTGCAGTATCCTGTCCAATTTTGGGGGCGCGTTCGACATGTTCTCGCACGGCCTGTGGCTCCTCAGATACCTCTTCAGATCCCCGTTCACCATCAGCTCCATAATGACCAACGTTGGCTGACCACGGGTCACCACGCCGAGCAGCTTCACCACGTGATGAGCGTCGAAACCTCTGCGAGATAGAGAGAAATATATATATATATATACGTATACGTTGGATGGAGGATCTGTTGCCGGTGGATCACTCACTTCATCACGGACGCCTCGTTGAGAAACTCGATTCGCTCTCGATCGGTCGCGTCCTTGTTCACCGTCTTCACGGCGCAACGAACCTCCGACTTCCCTTTCACGATGTCCTTCGCGATTCCCTCGTACACCATACCGAACGTGCCTGTCCCCAGCGACCTCAGCATCTCGATCTTCTCCCTGGGTACCTCCCACTCGTCCAATACGTACGGCGTGCTCACGTACTCGGGATTCACGGTGGCGATCAGCGTCACGTTGGGCACGTTCCTCAAAAATTTCCGTTTACACGCGTAGAAAGCGACCGAGCCGAAGACGACGAGGACGGCGCAGAACAGGAGCCAGAACACTATCCAGAACGTGTTCATAGTGTTCCGTTCCTCGATGTAGAAGTATTTCACGTGGGTGTACGCCCCGTTCCCCGCGAGGCTCGTCGCTCGAACTTTCACGGAATAATTCCCCGCTGGAAGCTCCTTCAGGACGTACGAGTTGCCAGCCTTGGTGAAGTCCCGCCTCGTGATGCACACCACGGTCGGTTTATACTGAAAACGCGTTTCCAATCTTTTCATTCTCCGAGAATGAAACAGAGACAGAGAGAGAGAGGGACTCACGTTCTGTATATCGACCCTCTTGTACTCGATCTGATAGGTGATGATCAGGCCGTTGGGCTGCGGTGGCTCGTCCCATTGAAGCGTGACCATGGTGAGGCTGTTGTTCTCGCCGGATATGCTCATCTTGAACGTATTCGGGGGAATGTTGTCGGCGCTCTCCAACGGCAACGTGCGATACGTCCTCATGCTCTTGGTCGAGCATTTCTTGTAAGTGTCGTTCATCTCCTGCGCCCTGCACGCCTGCACCTCGATGTTGTACGCGGCGAAGTGGCGGAGATCTTTCATCACGAAGGAACGATTCGTGCTTGGCACGTTCTCCTCGAATGTTATATACGTTCCGTTCACCTTCTTGTTCACGGGCTGCCAATGCACGGCCGGCAAGAAACGAGTTATGAAAGGGCGAGAGTTTTTTTTCGCGTTCTTGGAAAGTAATGGCAAAAAAAAAAAAAAAAGAAGAAGAAAGATATCGATCCTGATTACCTGATCCAACGATTTCGTTTTCCTGAACAATATATCCGAGACGTCCCGCTTCCTCCTCGGTTTACGTTTCACGTACACTTGGTTGTGCAACGCGTCCTCGAAATCGATCGCGCTCGACGCCTCTTTCTCCCTTAGAGATTGATCGGTCTCCCGATCGGCGCACTCGCAGGTCCCCGTTTCGGGCACCATCTGCTCCTTCTCCTCCTCCATCCGTTTCCTCTCCTCCTCGGCGAGGGTGATCGGTTTCTTGTCGGACAGCATCATGGCTGTGGAGGAAAAAGGGGAGATCGGTACGGAAAGTCTGCTCTTCCCCCCCCCCCCTTTCCGCGAAAAAAAGGAAATTTACTCACGTTCCTCGCAATAGTTTCGCTGATCGATGAAGTTCGGGTCGTCCGGCTCCCATTTGCCCGTGATGCGGTAATGGGTGAGGTTGCCGTTGTTGTGGAGGGGCGGTAGCCAGGACATGATCAACTCGCTGCTCGAGTTGCTCCACGTGATGAGAGACCTGGGCGAGCTGGGCGCCTCGGGCATAGTCCTGAAGTAGGTGAGGTTGCTCTGCGCCCCGGACCTCTCGGTCGCGATCGTGTAAGTCTTCACGTAATAGGCGTACTGGGTGTACGGCTTCAGCTGGGACAAGTAGTGGGTGTGCACGCTCTTCTCCTGCCTGCTGTCCATCAGGGAGGAGTTGGTGCTCGCGGAAACGTCGTCCACCTTCCAGCCGTCCCCCCCGCACGCGTCCCTTCCGTCGTACATGGTCACGTTCCTGTTGGGCGCCTCGATGAAGTAAACCACGTAACCGAGCAGCGATCTCGCGTCGTGGTGGATGAACGGCTCCCACTCGATCACCGCCCCCCACGGCGACTTCTTCCCCACCCTCGTCCTCAACTCGGTCACGTTGCACGCCACCTTGTCCCCGTTGCTGTTCGGCGCCACCTCGTAATCCGTGAACGGGCCCAGGCCCGCCTTCTCCCTCAGCATCTCGATCTTGTACAGGCACAGTTTAGGATTCAGGTGGAAGAATATCTTCCCCGGCCTCCCCTCCTTCGACAGTATCCTCATCTCCTTGTGCAAGCTCCAGTCCCACAACTCCTGCAGATTCTGATTGTCCATCACGAGCAGGGTGTACTTGGAGTTGTCGATGTCGTTGCCCCTTATCACTCGAAGATTCTTGAGGAAGTTGAGGGATATGAGGGGGAAGCTGCGCACGATCTTCAGGTAACCGTCTATCTCCTCTATCGTGCTCAGCCCGTCCTCCAACTCCTTCACGATGTTCTTCCCACCCCGTATCTGGATCTCGAGGCTGCCCGTGATGTGGGTGCAACCGCGAAGCTTCTGGGCAGAGGCGATGCTGTCCACGTTCGCGCCCGCGCACTCCTTCTGGCACGATCCCTCGCACTTCTTGCACGAGACCCTCCCGCTCGACTCGTCGTCCATGTAGCCGGGCGGGCACTCCATCACGCAGCTACCGTTGAAAGGCTTGTAGGGGAAGTTCTTCACGTTCTTCATCACCTCCTTCGGCTTCTCCATGCGGAGGCATCTCTCCTCGTCGATGCAACGATGATTCATGAATTCCAGGCTACCGTTCGGGCACCGCTCCCTGCACTCGGACTCGGCCGTCACCACGTCCTTGCATACCGTGCAGTCGCGACTCGTCGGCCCGCTGCACGTGCCCAGACACGACGAGTGGCAACAATTCCCGGCCTCGTCGCATGCGTTGTTCTCGCACTTCCGGTCGCAGACTGGAAAAAGCCGGGGAATCGTCAATCACCTGGGTAGACAGAGGGGTAGGGATGGGTAATAGTCCCAGCTGCCTACGCTCTTTCCTTCCAAACGAATTCGGAGGGAAGACGGTGGAATTTCGAAACGCGCGTGAAATAATATTCGGGGGAGGTAAACAAGGTTTTACCCCGGCGATGATGCGTCCCTCTCCCGTTTTCTCGCGGCTTGGGTCGAGATCCAAGAGTCCCGTCACGTTCACCGTGGGGGACACGTGGCGGCGACGTCTCCAACTTTCCCCGTAATTTTTGCCCAAGGGGAAAACGCTCCTTTTGCTTAACGTGCCCGCGTTACGATCGATAGAACGCGCATCGAGAGGAAGAGGAAGAGGAAGAAGAGGAGACTCCTGTTCTGCCTATTTTTACGGGAGAGAGAGAGAGAGAAAAAAGGAGGATCGGGTTAAATTTCGGTTTAATTCGAGCGTCGATTTGCGTCCGCCTCGCGGCGTAATTTAGAAGGCGTACGGCGCCCACGGCCGAGAGCCACCGCCTACGTCGCCCCTTTCCCTTCGCGAGGCCCTCCCTCCCTCCCTCCGTTCGCCGCAAGGCCAACGAATAATCGGATAATTTCGGGTGGAATCGGCGATCGAGTGGGTCGTCGGTGAGCGCGTGGGAGCGCAAACCGCAAACCGCAACTTTTATCTCGCGTTCGGATATTTTGCCCCAACGTTGAGAAAAACAGCTGCGAAAAAAAGTTTCCTCCGAAGTTTGGTTAGTTAGAAACGTCGCCAAATTCGTGCCATTTTTGTCTCCCTGCGAGCATTTAAAACGCTTAACGCTTTATCTTTCGTCATCGTTTCGCAGGATATAAAAAGAAGGAGAGAGAGAGAGAGAGAGAGAGAGAGAGAGAGAGAGAGAGAGAGAGAGAGANGAAAGAAAAGAATTACTTCGTTGGCAGTGTTGCTGGTTCCAACAGAGGTATTCATCCTGCTTGGTCAGTCTTTGCGGACAGTGCTTCTCGCACACCGGGCACCCGTTTTTTGGATTGTTCCCCTGTGAACAGAAAGCAAGGAAAATCAGGATACGTGTGTGTGTATATATATATATATATATATATATATATATATATATATATATATATATATATGTGTATATATATATATATATACATATTTATATATATGTGTGTGTGTGTATTTCAATCGATCTCGTTTCGAGATTTTCGGCTCGAGAAATGGTTGAAGGCGTTCGAATTCGTTTAATCTCGTCGGCGTGTCGATGACCAAAAACCGGCGAACAAAGGGCCTAGCAGTTTGCCGCCCCCTTGTTAGCTTATACGCGAGCCAAGGGAATTCCTCAAGTTCCGCGGAGGCTGGTGAGAGCGCAAAAGGCCGGATCGATACGTCTGGCGCCTTGTATTATTTATTTTTATCGCCGTACACGTACGCGTCTTTTCGCCCAAACCCTTGTCTTGGCCCGAACTTTTATTTTCATATACATCTAGGCAAACTAGGATTACGTCCTTCCTTCCTTAGCGTTTTTCTCTCTCGGAGCGACGAAACTCTTCCGATTTGCGCTCGTTCCCATTGTAAACGGTTGAGCCGAGTCGCGACAAATATATGTCGAAGTTGCCTTCCTATCTTTATCTTTTCTTTCTTTCCTTCGATTTACAAACGCGAGAGGCTAAGCAAAAACATCGAGTCGAACAATTTCTTTTTCGGGAGAAAAAAGATATTCAAAGTTAGAACTTTCTTTTAGATTAAAATTCCCGAAAAATCTAAAATATCGCGGAAACGCGTCGATTCGAACTTGTATTTTTTTGATTAAAAAAGGAAAAAAGGAAAAAGGAAAAAAGATGTATTTTTTCGTATATTTTTTTTCACGTGTCTCTCGCATACACGGGAAACATTTCCAATTCAAAAAAAAAAAAAAAAAAAAAAAAAAAAAACGTTCCAACCCAACGGAAAACGTTGGATGGCATTTTTCGTTTGAAAATTTGAAATATAGAAAAAACAGAGACGGAAAAAACAAAAAAAAAAAAATTCCAAAATTGGGATAAAAAAAAGGAGGGGAAAAAATAAAAACGAATTTTTTCCAAAGCCGGAATGGGATCGGTGTGGAGTAGAATACGATAACTGTGGACGATCTCGGTTGAAAGCTCGAAACTTGGCGACGAACCCTCGACCCTCGACCCTCGACACGCTCGAATTTTTTAGCACGCCAGCCGGAAACTAATTAACCCTCTGACCCGGTCACGTTCCATCGATCACCCTCGCGACCCGCTCCCGCGACAAGCCTCCCGCCGTCCTATCGACTCGCCTCGGAGAAATGAGATATTTATCAGGATTCCCATGGCTCCGGAGGTTGCGAGACAGAGCCCTAACGGACAGAGAGAAACTCGAGCTATGATTTCGTAACGCGTTCAACGGGCGCATCTCCCCTCCCCTTCTCTCTCTCTCTCTCTCTCTCTCTCTCTCTCTCTCTCTCGCTCGCTCGCTCTCTAAGAATCGTTTTAAATCGGTTGAGCCGAGCGAGTTTAACTCGAAACCTCGATTTGAACGGGGAATATAATGAGAGATCTTTCTCGTCTATTATATACGTGATCAACAGGTCACGATCTCTTCTCTCTTCTCTATCCGTTCTCGTCTCCTCTTTACATAGATGTTAGTTAGATGTATCGTTTGTATTTGCGGTTTTGTTCCATGGTTTCGTGAGTGGACACGGTTGGACGATTGAAAAAAGAAAAAAAGAAAAGAAAGAAAAAATAACCGGTTAAAAATAATGATAAAGTTACTTTAAATAATTACTCCGGAGTTCGAACAACGTTTTTATTCCTAGCTTCGTTATGATCGATATGTATATCTTATATATATAAGCTCGTCTGTATAAAGCCGCCGTATAAAGTTATTTATACGGTGACTCGATGCTTTGAATATATAAAAAAAAAAAAAAAAAAAAATTGTCGAAGCAACTTTATTCTTAGCAACTTCAACTTCAATTAAATTTTGCCCTTTTTTTTATATCATCCACTTTGAACGTGTGTTCAAGTAATGCGCGCGCGCCGTGATGTGTGGATTTTTAATTTCGAAAGAAAAAAAAAAAAAAAAAAAAAGAAGAAGAAGAAAAGTAATTATATACATTGGTCGAGAGAGAAGGGAGAAAATTGCACGTCATTTCGCGTCCGCATGTATAATGCAAAAATTGATCGAAGAAGATAAATTTTGATATCGAAAAAAGAAAAGAAAAAAAAAAAAAAATGTCGATGTCATCGTCATTGAACTTACAAAGTAGCAGATGCAACTTTTTCTCTCTATTCAAAGAACAAAAAAAAAAAAAAAAAAAAAAAAAAAAAAAAAAAAANAAAAAAAAAAAAAAAAAAAGAAAAGAAAAAGAAAATCATGAAATAGCACTTTTTTTCACCCTTCCCTTACGTATCCTTTCGATATTCATCGAAGGCCAGGTGACACGTATCTCTTCTTCCCGATCGCGAAATTACAGATAATTAGCCGCCGAAATTGCTGAACGGCTGGTGAAAAGAGCGGCGAGCACGGCGAGAGGGGAAGAGGGGGAGAGATTGACGGCGCGAGCAACGGGCAGATTTATCTCGCGGAAGAGGCAGAGCACGCGACGCGTAATATACGAGGCGTGAGCTACGAGGAGATCGATAAAGAGTCCCCCCCTCCCCTTCCCTCTTTCCGTTGCACACGGGCGAAACACAGCCGCGCGTTGCGTTTCCATTAACGAACAATGAAAATTTAAATAAAAAGTTATCGATTGAAAGGGGTCGTCGTCCACCACTCTCTCTGTTTCTCTTCATTTTTTTTATATATATATATATATATTTTTTATTAAATCGATTCCCATCTACTCTCTCTCTTTGTCTCTCTCTCTCTGTCTCTATGGCTCGCGAGAGGAATAATTCAGGGCGTAGTATCGCGTGGCGAATTAGCGGAGCTCCGTTCCACGCCCTTTTTTTTAATCCACTCAGCGCCCGCCAAACTCGTAAACTCGTAAACTCTGGTAGTTCCGTCCACGAGAGATCCGCGAGAGAATCGAAATTTCCGAGAATGGCGCGCACGGCCGCGTTTCGAAAGTGGAACGTCCACCCACCCTTCTCCTACGCTAGGTTTCTCCTTCGTGATCCATTGTATCGCGTTGTATCCATTGTATCCTGCCTCTTGTCTAATTCGCGCGGCCAACGCGCGATTCGTTTCATTTTCGAAGGAGAATCGATCGATCGATCGAAAATCTTCGAGAGGAGATTTCACGAGAGGGAGAATTTGAACGGGTTGTCTTCGATAATCTTTAGGTAGAGAGAGGGGGAACCTCTCTCTTTCTCTTTCTCTCTCTTTCCTGTTTACCCGAGATTCGAATCTCTTTTGGCCGGAAACGATTGCTCGGAATCCTAGTAGACCGGGGATTTGTCCCAAGTCGGCCTTTGCACCACACACACACACACATACACGCACGCACTTTTTCACACGCGATTCTTTCAAGAGATCCGATCGAGGCGGCGAGTCCTTCCCTTTTTTTTTTGACGTAGAATAGTAGTCTCCTTCAACAAGTCTCAAACCACTATCGACTTTTCAACCATCCTCGACAACGTTTGTAAGAGGGCAAACGGAGAAAAAGAGAGAAAGAGAGAGAGAGAAAGAGAATATGGAAGCGAAACGGAGCGTGAAAAATATCGTTCGTTTTACCTCTCCGTCGAAATCGAGTCGAAGGTATAATCGTTACATCTTTTTAAATGGAGCGTTCGAATTTCTCGAGATTACGAAGTAAGGCCAACGTTCGTGCAACGATTCCTACAAGATTCGAGCAACGATACCGGATAGTCGGAAAATAGATTGAAATTCGCAGTTGGAAAAAAAAAACGCAATTGAAAGCGTGCAACAACGTAACAGGGAAGCCGCGTTCTTCGTCCACGAATTTGCAGCGAAGCAGTTGACTGTCGAGAGGGAGCACTCGTTCGTTTCCAAAATGTGAAACACGTGATCCTCGAGTGCGTCGTTCTGCCTCGTTATCGGTTGCAATTCGCGTTACGAGCGCTCGTACGTCACGCTCGTGTTTTGCCTTTCGACTCGATGGTCTCGGTTTTACTTTCGGTTTTACTCTACAACTTCAAACTTTTTTCTGTTTTTACTCTTTTTTTCCCCCCACCCTTTCCTCCACTTTTTTCGAAACATTTCGAAAACGTTTCGAAACGAATCGAGAAACAACGAAGAAGGATATTTTTCTTCTTTCGGTGTAATCGAGTCACGACCCATTTCGTTCCTGTTTTATCGATCGAGTCAACGATTCGAATTCCCCTATCCACGAATAACTACCGCGATAGATTTGTTCGTTGATTGGCGACCGTTTGCAGGCATCGCTCGCGCGTCGTCGCGGACAATAAGACCAACGGCGTGCACATGCACGCTTTATACACACGCGGCTCTCGTGTTACGCATCGAGCTTTCAGAGAGAAGACAGGGATGAGCATTTTGTACACGCTACGCGTTACGCGTTGCATTCAGGAATTATTGTTGCTTTATTTTCACTCGTCACTCGTTGTGTACTCGAACCAAACATTGTGTCGCGTTTGCCAGCCGGTGTTTTGTCTTCCGCGCGCGGCAACCGACAGCCGACGTTTTCGCGACCGTGCACGCCCGGTTAAACGTTAAAGCGAATTCCTATTTTGACGGATAAAACGGCCGACGTGAAAGCGAAGGATAACAATCTCCTTTCGAGAAAAAAAAAAAAAAAAAAAAAGAAATATCGGAGGGGGGAAAAAAATAACTCGAACAATAGATCTCGCAAAAATAGATTTCTCTCACTGCATCGTGAAAATTTTTTACGAAATAATCTCTGATTCGACGATTTTTATCCCGAGCACAAAGTCCCTTCCGATTTATTTCAAGAAATCGCGGCCGTTCCTGGCGAAAATCTCGATAGGTCGTCGTCGCGTTATACCGTCGGGCAACGGGAACGACTTCTCTCCTCCTCCCCACCCTCCTTCCCTCCCGGTTCACCTCTTCGCGAACGAGATGACGATATTATTATCCCGCGGTGCGAGGACAGTCGGTCGGTCTGCCGGCCAGAAATAGTGGCGCGTCGCGAGCTGTGAGCCAGCAGCCGTGATTGTGATTCCCTTTGATTTACACCGAAACAGGCTGATATTATTGCCTCCCCCGCTCGAGTCGAATATCCAGAAGGGCACTCCTTTCCTCCCTGGAAAGGAGTTTCGAATTCGAGGGGAGGGGTGGGGGGGGAAAGTGAATATATTCCGGATATATTCTTCGGATTATTTATTAGGGCGCGATTGTTTACCGATGCGGGGACGGATGCCAAACTCTCGGGGAGACTCGTTCGTTCGTTGCTCCGTTGTAGAATGGAATAATGACCCTTGTTATATCCTCCCCCCCCCCTCCCTCCATCCCGATATGCTCGAATTTCTGGCAAGAAGGCGGCGGCGTGTCGAGTTGGCCAGCCGCAAGGCGCCGCCATTAGCCGCTATTCCCTCTCTATCTTCTCCCTTCCCCCACGGCGATTCCCGTGCCAACGTATATAAATGGATAGATATCGGGACGATACTTTCCCCCCAAAGGTTGAAATTTCCTCCCCCCCTTCCCATTCCGTTCGAATCTCTTCTTCTCTCTCTCTCTCTCTCTCTCTCTCTCTCTCTCTTCTCCTTCCTTCCTTCGTTCGTCGTCGAATAATACGCCCTTCCTTCTCCCCTCCCCTCCCGTTCCCGTTCGGTTCGTTATTTTCGGATCAACTTACCGCGATCACGTGCTCCCCTTTGCCAGCCTTGGCGATCAGGTCCCAGTCGATCGTGTCCACGTAGCAGAGCGCGGGGTTCTTCTCGAAACGGACGGAGCCCCTCACGATGGTGGTTAAGCTGTGCAGCCCGATCTCCTGCAGATTCATCATCTCGAAAGCCACGAGGGCGTAGTTGATGAACAGAGAGTGGCCACGGATCACGGTCAGGTTGGGGAACAGGCGACCGATGCTGCGCAACCCTTTTACCCTAAAAAGAGAGAGGGACAAAGAAAGAAAGAGGGAGGAGGGGAGGAGGTGCGCGAGCATCTCGTTTCGCCGCCTTACTACGCGCTCGTAAAATGGCCGTGTCGAGGAAGGAGCCGGCGAGATCGACGGGGAAAAGTTTGACGAACCGTCGTAAAAACACCCGTCCCTCGACACCCTGGTAATAGTAAGAACGGGTTTCTCTAGCTCGAAACGGTTCCAAATCTCGCCGGCTTCCTCCTCCTCCTCCTCCTCTTCGATCCTCCGCGCGATTCACACGGAACGAATCGAATCGAACGATGTTTTATATATATATATATATATATATATATATATATAAAACAATAGTTTCAAGTTATTCCCTCATTCTAATAATAATACTAATCTTACTAGAAAAATCATAATTAATACAAATGAGATTATTATTGTATATGATTTTAAATAGAAGATTACTATAAATAAAATAATTATATAAATAAAATAATTTCTACATCAAAAATTAAAAATATGAAGTTATTCCCTCATTCTAATAATAATGTAAATACTAATCTTACTAGAAAAATCATAATTAATACGAATGAGATTATTGTTATATATGATTTTAATTTTAAAGATTACTGGTATAAATAAAATAATTTCTACATCAAAAATTAAAAATATTATTGTGATTAAAAAAAATGAGAATGGGAGGTTTGCTTTAGTAATTGGATTAAATCCACACTCAAATGGTGATCTTTTTTCATAGTCTATTTTTTTTTTTATTGAAATTTATTTATTTAAGATTAATAAAATTGCTGAAATTAATATTACTATAATAAAATATATTATGATATAAATAATTATATATATTAAATAATTAAATTTTTTAATTGGAAATTAAATGTAATAGTAGTTATACTATATATATATATAATAAATGAATAAAAAAGAAATTTATTAAGTAATTATATTTAATATATATATATATCGTTGGATAGAAAGGATACCTATAGAGAAGCAGGTATCCGGTGATCTCTCTCAGCTCCGGGAAAGAGATGTTGGTGTACTCGGATGACTCGGCGTTGTCGATCAGCAAAATTTGTACGAATCCTTCGACTAGTCGGCATCCCTTCAGTCTTGAGAAGTGACGCACGGCGTTTCTTATGTCTATGCTTTGGCACACTGGAACAGAAAAGAGGGGATGGAGGGAGAATGAGAGAAATTTTTCGAAGCGAGAAGGGGAAAGTAGAAACCTTCTTCTCTCCCTCAAACCGTGGTGGTGGACGAGCGAAACCTCGTTGGATCGAGTGAATCAAGCGGCACCGTTTCATTACGAGTCATTTGAAGCTTGGACGGACTGACCGGGAGGCAAGGTCGAGAGGCAAGACCTAGTAGATCGTTGATATCCGTTCCCTCCCCCACCCCGCCTCTGCCTCCGTCTCCGCCGAACCGGATCCACGCACAGCCATTCCAATCGTTCTTATTAGCCACCGTTCCAGGTATAATTCGGCGATAACAAACGGGATCCTCTCCCTCTCCCTCTCGAGGCAAGGCAATTATCCGCCTTCGGGGGAGGAGCGGCGAAGGATCGAGAGAGAGAGAGAGAGAGAGAGAGAGAAAGAGAGATGAATGGATGGTGTACGATCCGTGGATTTGTTCCGTGTATCGTATCGTATCGTGGGCTGGAACGACGTCGACGGCGACGTCGACGGTGACGAGAGAGAGTGGACGCGTCGCGGTCAACTGTAACGGGTTGCGCTAAAAATATACCCCGGCGGCTGGCATTGGGATAAACACGAGGGCGCGAGCCTCCTCGAGCCGATCTACGAGCCACGCGTCGCCTCGTTTTATCGCCATATGTCGTGACGCCTGTAGATAGCCCTCGCTTTCTAACCCTAAGGTTAATTATAGCCCATTGTTCCTGGATACGTTCCTCGGCCGTGCGTCGGCCGCCTCTCGTGCCATTCGCGAAACCGAGTAACGGCCAAGCTCTCGATCTACCGTCTCTCTACCTATCTCTGCGCGCTCCATTATTATTATTATTATTATTATTGTTATTATTATTATTATTATTATTATTATTATTATTACTGTTATTCTTTCTAATCGTTACTCGAAGAGAATACCAAGGAACAGGAAGGTTTTTGGATCGCCTCTCTTCGTTGGAAATTTCGAAAAATATTATTGAAACAGCGATTTAGTTTTAAATACGGAGACGACGTTTTAAGGAGAAACGGTTCGGCTGTTCTGTTTCCCCAAAGGGAATAATAAGTAGGTCGGATCGAGTCGAGAATCGCGGAGGTAAACCGAGCCGTTTGCCTTTCCTTTCCGTTTGTTGTAAAGAAGGAAGGAAGGAAGAAAGAAAGAGAGGAAAATCTATTTTCGCCGATATCGAGCGATTTTTCAACGCCGCGAGTATACGAGTATACGAGTCGCTCGCAGCGAGTCGAAAGAGTGCGGTGGAAATCGAGTGCATCGCAATCGCGTTGGATCAGCCAGTCGTTTTCCTTGAACGAAAATTGAATCGGATAGCATCGTAACGCCCTCCAGGCCGTATTTATCACCGACATTTATTACTCTCCATTATTTTTCCCAGCTATAATTTTGCGCTTTGCAATTAAAATTGAGGAAAAGAAAAAAGAAAAAAAAAAAAAAAAAGAAGAAAAATATCGTCGCCGAATAGAACATTGTCGAACCGAGTAGCAATAACCACGGATTATCGCCGTTCGTTCATTTGCCGATCAATCGTGAACCTTGACGTTTTTAAAATAGCCAGCCAATCGTTCGAGTAAATACTTGCTAGCTGGCTATCTTCCACCCATGGTGGAATATCCGTGTTCGATTGTATTATTGTTTCAAATTAAAAAAAAAAAAAAAAAAGTAGCAATAACGGATACAATGATACGATGCGACGCGGAAACGAATAAAACGAAAAAAAATAAAAGAAAGAAAGAAAGAAAAAAAAAAAAAGAAGCGAACGCGCGCCGTTTTGTCTCGCGTTGCCGAAAAACTACTCGTCACGACTCGGCTACAGTGTCACCATCTGTCGGTTTCGCCCGAAAACAAAAAAAAAAAAAAGAAGAAGAAGAAGAGGAAGAAGAAGAAGAAGGAAAAAAACAAAAGGCGAAACTACTCCGCTCGTAAAGCATCGTTCACACCGTTGAACGTGGTTGGACGAGGCCGGCAACCACGTATCAGCCAACGATAAGTCCTCAACGATCTACCGATAACGCGGCAAACTACTCCTCTGCCGGCCAACTATCGCAACTTATCAACGCGTTTTTCCCTCCACCGAAACGGGTTTCCCTCGTATTTACGCATCGTGTATCCTATCGCGAAATCCCTCATCGCGAAACGTTCGCTTTCTCTCCTTGGAAACCGTCGATTTGTCGCCGATACCCGCCGACTTCTCGCCTCCGCGCAACTCGGCACAGAAAATTCGATTTCTCGTTCGGTTCGAACGAAACGAAACAAAAAGAATAAGAAAAAGCTCGCGTTAATATCCAACGCGTTCGCCGCGTAACGCTGATCGCGCCACGGTTGCGCCACGTTTCCACGGGTCGCCGTGCATCGATCGTTCGATACCGCTTACTTTTACCAATTTTTCTTATTTCTCCTTCGATCCCAAGCTTTCGACTCGACTTATTCGTCTCGATTCCATCGTCGATCCGACCATTATTTCGCGTTCGGAAAAGGGGATAGAATCGGTGGCATTCTTTTTATACCGTTTTTCGAAAAAATTTGAGAATCGTTCGAGCCGTGTATATATATATATATATATATATATAACGTGTCACTCGATCCGTAGCGGCGAAGTAGCTATCTGCGATGTCGGTGAAACGTCGGTATAATGTAATCCTCGCGGACACGGCTTACACCAGGAATCGCGAAAATGCGTCTCGAAAAGTTGCGATCCGAGCATCGAACATCGGATTCGTCGAAAAAATGCGATGCTTCTCTCGATTCGCTTCGGTTCGAAGAATCGGTTGAAATTTGGAAATCGAAAATCGATGACGACTCGATCGAAAGGGGGGGAAAAAAAAAACTAAAAACTTTTCTTCGCGTTCCTGTTCGCTCTCGCTTTCGAAGTTCACCTTCTCGCGGAGCAAGGTGTTGGAGACCACTCGAAACGTCGGATATCTTATCGTCTCCATCCAACCGATATTGATTCTACGCAAATACCGTGAAATCGTGTCGTGTAGAGAGAGAGAGAGAGAGAGAGACTCGCGAATCGTGTCAAATTTGACTTTCTACCCGAGGAGTAGATAACGCGAATTTAGAATTTTCGTCTGGCACGAAGCGACGATATCGTCTAGCCTAGTTTCATCGTTGCGTGTTCGCCGCAAAGAAAGATTCTTAAACGCGAACATCGTGTTCCGTGCCATTTTTTCTCTTTTTCTTTCTTTCTTTCTTTCTTTCTTTTTTTCTTCTTCGCGCCAATACATACGTAATCCGCTTTTTCCCTCTTCTTTTTTTTTTTTTTTTTTTTTCCCTCTTCGTAACGAATGCGTGGATTATTCGTGGAGGCTGAGTGAAAAGGCGGGCCACGTATGCAAATCGCGCATGTTTACCGTGCATTATAGACGCAAAGTAGCACCGGCCGACCGGTTATCGGGAATATCAAAACGGGGCACGTCCACGGGCAAGAAAGTGATAATCCGCAAGAGAGGCGAAACCCATTAGAAATCTTTCAACGTTCGCTGCTACATGGGCATGAGAGCGAGGAGAAGTCGAGTTTCGAATCGAGCGAGCAAACCTCGAGAGAGAGAGAGAGAGAGGAAAGAAATAAAATAATTCTCTTTCTCGAACGATTATTTCTTCTTTTTTTTCCGAAAGCAAGGGGCGAGATTTCTTTCTTCGTCCTTCGAAGAGGGATCGAAACGGTCCCTGGCGGCAACCGTCTCTACTTAGTAGTTGCTTGGCCGTCGTCAAAACCGTCGACGAAAAAAAAAAAATCTGCGCGTTAACCGACGTGCGTTTCTCGTTGGCTCGAAATCCCGATAATTCCTATAACCTGGTATAATGTGGGGGGAGAGAGGACAGGGAGGGAGAGCGGGCGGGGTGAAGCGAGAGAGAGAGAGAGAGAGAGAGAGAAAAAAAAGGTATGCGGCAACTCGGTAGAAGAAGCGAGAGACTGTCGAAAATTTATGCAGAACCGGCCTCTGAGATCTGCCGCCAGAACGAGCCGACTTACCGCGGTGTAACTGTAAAACGACCCAGAAGAAAGCTACAAGATTTACTCCCGTCTCTTCGCAGCTGTGCCTTCCACCCAAATAATAATAATAATAATAATAATAATAATAATAATAATAATAATAAAAATGTGAGAATCGCGAGAGACGGAGTGTTTCAATCGCTTGGAACGAAATTCGGGCCCCTCTCCTCCAACGAAGACATTCAACGATTCGACGAAATTCGAAAAAGTAAAAAAAAAAAGGGGGAGGAGGAACGAGTTCGAATAATAGATGACGTTGCTTAATAAGATATCGATAACGAAATGAAATGAGAGAAGGGAAGGGCTTTGGGGGGTGGGTGGGATTATTTCGATCTTCGCGGAAGAAAAGATCCCTTTCTCTCGGGGTTGCCGCGCTAAAAAAAAAGAAAAAGAAAAAAAAAAAAGAAAAAAATCTTGCGTGCGTATCGTACCTCGATGACCTCGAGCTATGAAATTAACCAACACACATCGGTCGGGGCAACGTCGGGGAATTTTTGATTATGCGTATCGGGGCGTGGATCAAGGCCGCTATTGACAACGGGTACGAGGCGCCGTCTGTTATTAAGGGAAATAAAAATTATCGAGCGTCTCGGTAACTGGACTCGAACGAAGGGGAAAGTGGAAGGGGAGGGGAGGACAAAAGCGGCCGGGCAATTAAAAAAAACCTTTCCACGAAAAAAGAGAAAGAAGAAAAGAGAGAAAGAAGCTAGTTCGTAGTTTCGTCCCAGATCCCCCCCCCCCCTAGAGAGGGGGATCATCGCCGATTCCGCGAAACTCGACGAGTCCCTTCCCATCGATCCCTGCCTCTCCGCACAGTAAAGTAATCGAGTTAATTCCCTGCCAACGATCCCGCATCGTGTCTCGTCACTGAACTTCCCTGATCGAAAGCAATCGAGAGTCGAGTAGTCTCATCTACACCGGTATTCGCAATCTCGAATCATGGAGAGAAATTTTTCGTAGATATTGT